TTTTATTATGAGTATACGATAATTGGGGAAAATTCGTGATGTCTAACTGCAACGAGAATAATATAACGTAAACATTGCAAATAATTATCGCATCTGTCTGAGAGCGGTCTAATTATCGACTCACTTCGACTACACGGGTTCAACGCGTTTATTTAGCGCGCTGTAACGTGCAGTGATCGTCTCTCTGCCGTAGTAAACGAGATTTCGTTAGGCAAGAGAGAACTCTCTCGTCGGAACATTGCCGTAGCTCTTTGTGCTTATGGCGATTTTGCGGAATTAGTTACGAATTGCCAGACGAATTACAATGACGTTTTCCGCCTGTCTCTGGCAATCTCTGGTTACGGCATGGGTAGACGAAATAAGCAGTTTGATTTCTCGCTTGCGTACTTTCTAATTATCTGTGCGGCCAGGAGTGCAGCATTCAGATAAAATGTCAACCCTACATTAATAATGTATATCCCTTTTCTCTCTCGATTCTTCATATCGAAGTGACTGAAATGTGATTTACTCTACTTTTAAACGGAATTAGGCGAATAAAATTATATCTAATGAAAGATTTAAAGATGAATCAGTATAGTTTCACATTTCTCTCTCTTTTTGTCTTCCGGGGAGAAGCGTTTAAGTAATAGAACGTATTTGATCGTATCGCTGATATATATTTCAATTGCATTGTTAAAATGTTAAAATAGAAAGTAAATGGAAAAGTGTATACGTAATTTGATCATTATTCGTAAAATATCCTTTCATGAGAATGTTGGTCACATTATTCTTTCAGCTTGTTAATCGTTATCGACAAATATCATCGTACAATTGAATGAAATTCATATCAAAGGGAATGCGGTATCGCGTACCAGGTTTAATACGAAATATTCGCATAAAATGCTTTTATCTCGATTTCCGCGAGAGTATAAATTATCGCGTAAATCACCACACAATGATTTTAAATGTGAATTAGAGCGACGCGAGTGGCGCAAGTCTTTAGTCAGTTTAATCCCTATCAGCTTTCTAAGAGACTCTATCCATCAGTATGATTAGGGAACAGCCAAATAGCAAAAAACCGGAGGCGATCGACAGTAATGCACTCACCTTCTTATCTTGAGATATGAAAAAGGGAGATGGATGGATTACCACTTAAATCTCTTACCGCTTTAATGCATTGTTAATTGCAAGCTCGAAATATTATTTATTACGCATCGCAGTCATCCTGTAGATCGAATATCATGCGAAAGACTTTTCAGAAAAATTATTTTTTACAGTAAAAGCCAATTTTTTGACCGGTCCCGCAAGTTGATCAATTCATCATGCAAGCACAAAGCGCTTGTCGTTTATTATATTTTTAAGGTAATCGGAACCTGTCAAAGCGGCGAATCTGTCCAATTTTTTTTCAGCGAAATATTTTCAAAGGGTACGCAAAAAATGAGAGTAAAAAGAGCACGTGTGTCACTTGGAACGAGTAAAACCGCGGGGTTCGTCACCAAAAATGCGAATTAATGTAACGCCTCGCTCAGTTTTTCCCCCCTTTTTTTACGCTTTTACAGTATGTTTGGCATCACCATGTTCAGATTCCTGCATGAACGCTATTTTCGCTTTTGAGAGTCCCCAGAAAATTTCACAACGCTGCGCACGAAGGGCTCCAGCTCGCAGAAATATTTCTCCCGGCGGAGTAATTTAGTTGTTACAGAATTTTTGCGGCAGATTCGCGTGCCGGCGATAAAATATAAATTCAACCGGGCAAACGTGTTTCTATGAAGAATTCCAGTCGTCCTATTTCTGTACTTCTATACTTCAACGACATCTCAATATTAATCGCGAGATATAAAAGGAATTATCATGTTAATTGACTTAACTTAGAGGAAAGTTGCCGATACTGACATAGGTCTCCTAAAGTGACACCCCCTTATTTCTTAGAAACTAACTATTGCACTTTATTAATACTAATAAAATCATGATCTGTTTAGCTAATTAAAGAAGTACAAACTCATAATTCATATATTTGTGACTTATTTCTATATCAAATTAGCTAAAAACCTATTCTATGGATCCGAGAAGAAAATTCTTAAAAGTTGCAAAAGTGTTCTTTTGCAAATTGCGTAATTAAAATAATAGTGACTGTATTATTGATAATATTATGTCATTTTAAATGTTTATAGTTTCATAAATTAGTTTTCTTTACAGAATAGGATATATCTTTATTTATATGTAGAATAGGAATGTTGGTATTATTGCCTACTATGTCAGTTTTCGAGCCCATTTTATCAGACGCTCATTTTTGCATAACTTACGAAAAACTTAATTATTGCAAAATTGACGAGTCCATTTTATCAGACGCTCATTTTTGCATAATTTACGAAAAACTTAATTATTGCAAAATTGCAAACAGTATTATAAAAGTTGCTTATACTATCTGATAGAAGACACTTTTTACTTTGTATTTATGTTTTTGAAATTGTATTTTTACCTTTTGTTTAAGAAATATTGTCTAAAAACAAAGTGCTATGTCGGTATTGGTGACTTTCCTCTACATAATGTAGCCTATATCGATGTAACTCGTATTATTATATTATAATCGTCAGTATTAAATTAATTATCAGTATTAAATTAACGCTTCTGTATACTAAATAATGTTTTTACTGCTTGTATTTCTGTGATACCATCTGAATCTTGTATCCTTAGTCTGACAAATATATTCTGGTCCTGATGCGGTAATTTAGATTTTGAAATCGGATTCAAATATCGATTTCTTGAATATCTTAATAACAAGAAACGTAATGTCTGCATTTATTCAATAATAATCAATTTATCTTGGTGCAAGATATCAGGTTGGAAAAGCTTGATATTTTAATTGAACAAAAATTGATTATTTAATTTGATAAGTGTATTTATTAATCGTAATTGCTGATTTATATTTTACTCGTGCATATTCAAATAAAATTGATCCGATGAAATAAGATGGGCGAGACACGATTACCTTTATGATATACAGGCATAATTTTCGAATTCAGGTACGGATGAAACTTCCGCCGAAACTTCGTATCCCGCGAGAAAGAGTCGTCACGATAAATCTCGCAAGATATACGGAATAACTTCTTATTGCCGGAACTCTGCGGACGTAAATCTCGCTCTCCATGTCGTCGCTAATTCTGACTATGGCGCGTCACATTTCGAATCGCGAATCAATTTCCGAAAATCGACAAAACTCGGAGAACTTTTCCTTCTTATTGGTGCTTTTGTTGAACTTTGGTCGAAGCAGCTACCATTTTATTCATTGATAGCGTCGCGATTAAATCGCACGGATTATACAGGATAAAAAATGTCGATAAATCGGATCTCATGAATATAATCTAATAAAACGGAAATCACAAATAGATCTGATTTAATTGTGTAATTATTCATTATAAATTTTTTTATGACCTAAACGACACTTAATCATTATAAAATCGTTTGATAATTTTAAGGTTTTCTCAACCGGGCTAATTCCAGAAGTTGAAACACGACGAGAATGCACAATCGCGCACAAAAGTTCGTACATAATACCTATATATCAGAGAAATTCTGCTCGTATGTATCTACTCTCTTGCCTGCTTGCCTCTGCAAAAAGCTGTAATGGAGTTTCGACGTTTGTCGGCATTGTTTCGCTATTTTGTAAGCCATCGAGAGCGTGGATCGTCTCTAACGGATTGCTTGATTTTACGGAACGCCGAAGGGTGAAAATGCAAGTTACAGCAGATGGGAACGTCTGTGTTCGTCTATTTACGATCCTGGAAAACGTGCCATTTTCTCTCTCTCTCTCTCTCCTTGTAATCGTCTCTAGAAGCTCTTTGAGACTCTTTGGAACTCCACTGAAATCGCAAATGCTTCACTCGATTCTCCGCCTTTGCGCTCGTTGTCGCAGCTAATCATTCGCGCAACTAATTAGTTCTTACGCGTTCTCTAAGCGGATTTAATGTCGCGTGCGTTATAAGCGGATCTTCGATGTCATTATATATTACGAATTTATTATATATATAAAAGACATACAAAAATCGTATATAATGATTCATAAAATATTAACAGAATTTATCTAGCCTCAATAATTTAAAAGATTTTTTCTTTCTTAAAAAAAACTTTTCTTTTAAATTTTCGAAGCTAGATAAATTCAGTTAATATTTCATGAGTCATTATATACAATTTTTTATGCAACGCACGCAACATTAAGTTGTCATATATACAATTAATAATTGTTATTGACTTCTTTATATTTTTATACAATTTTATCTAATATGATATACACGTATATTAAGTGTTGAACTTAATTCCTGCCGTTTTTCGTCTCCAAAATTGATTTGTTTCGAAGAGAAGATGAATGAATACCAAATAATAATTTCCTCCATTTTCTACTTTATTACTAATTAATAATACTTTATTGATAATACTTTGATTAAGATATTTCCTGTTTGGATTTAAAATTAGATGTTTCAATACTACGCGAGTCATAGTGGAATATCTTTTCATTCGAATTGGATTTGATTTGCGACGCAATCGATTTTCCTTACCGTTTTCTCTCGTTTCTCAAATTCTAGCGATGCAGTCGTGCTTGATAAATCGATTTTCATAGATGTATATGGGCTTGTTTAGCCATGACAAACTAGATTTTCGTGTATTTCATATCACCTTTTCCCTGAGGGATTCGATTTAGTTTGTCAAAAATGTTGAAAGGCAAATGAAAGCTTTAAGGAGATTATTGGTCATCGATACATTTTTTTTTTAGTCCGAGAAACGAAATACAGCGATTAAAAAAAATTCTGTTTGCCAAATTGAAAGCGCAGATTTATATAAAGATATTAATCTGTAACATATTCGATGACACACACATAGTTTGTTTGTAAAAAGAGGAAAAATATATAAATAAGAAAATTAAAATATTTCCCAATAAGAATTTAGATAAAACGGTTTTTACATTTATCGAGCTCATATACAATGCCGCCGTTTAATTAACTTTCTTTCGTAATCTTTAATTCCAGTTCTTGTGGCGAAAGAAGAAAGCGAGATTAGTAAAGACTCGAAATTCCATTACAAATATAAGAAGAGGAAGCGGACGGATAAAAATCGCAAAATGGATGAAAATCAACAGCGGGGACCGGTATTTCGGTCACTCAACAGTCAACACGAATCCTTCGTCAGATTTATTAATACAACACCTCATACTATTACTTTATACTGGATGGATTATCAAGGGCAGGCAATTGATTATGGCGATCTGTCATCTGGGGACTACAGGGAAATAAACACGTTTTATACGCATCCGTGGATTTTCGTCAATAAAGAAACGGGCGACAGGTATGTGTAATGACAATGATCATTTGTTCGCCGATATTATATCAATAATAATCCGTGTGCAATGAACTATTTCTGAATTATGGGTAATCATAGTTTGCACTATTATAGTTTATGATCATAATTTGCAATCATGATCATAAAAAGATAATCCATAAAGATAGATCATAAAAAGATTCAGTCTATTACTTTGAAAACAACTTTTATTGCCACAATTTGTTTCTTAAAATGCTACAAAAGGAAAGGATATAATATATTATCCATATTTCTAGATTTTAGCTGCATTATTTTATATCTGCCTAATTGCTCAAATTGTTTTATCTCTATAAAGTTTAGGTTTTTATGGATTATAATCCATTAATCCATTTGTATTTCTAATAGAGATTATCAAGAGATTAGTAAAATATTTTATATGACATTCGTCCGTTAGTCCACAGAGTACGAAATATTTTCGAAATATTGGCATCAAAATAGACGGATTAATAATGACTAGGGCAAAACGAAACAGGTATTTGGTGGGCCAGCGTGATGTTTTCTTTCCGGCGCCGTGGTTTCTCCAGTACCGTGGTGTTACGCAAGACAAACTGCCGCAAAGAATCGAGAGGACCAACGTGTACATCGTGCTACCGATGTTTACTCTACAGCAATTATCACTGAGAGTCATCAAAAACTGTCTTACGTACGATTCGCAGGCTTTTCATCTTGATATTCCACGGAGTCTCCAGTTAGAACTTGTTACAATGCTACCGAAGAAACCTCAACCTTCGTGATGTGTTCTCTCGTAATGTACTATTGTTTTTACGAACGATTGTGGTAATACCGCGATTAAGATAATAATTCCAAAACTTGGACATTTGTTTGTAATTTTTGCAAAGATGAAGGAAATGTTTTACGAGTATTTAAATATTTCTTTTTTGTATGGAAAAAAATTAAATGAATCTTCGTTTTTTTTATAAATACATGTACAACTGTATACCGTATATTATTTAATGCCATTGCGTTACAAGCGCAATTCTCAAAAATACTTATTATAAATTGATATTTCTTGGGTGCAAAAATGTATATATATATATATATATATATTTAATATAACGCATCGAATATTGTAGAGCTTTTAGGATTAATTGACAAGTGGGGATGCATTGGTATCCAGTATTATCCGGTACTTCTTTACTATCCGATTGGATAACCGGATATCATTAATATTTAGCAATATATATCCGGCTGAAATTTTATATTGAAAGTTTGCGTTATTGATGCAGAATTCTATTCTTTTCTGTTGAACTTCTTGCGCAATTTATGGTTTCGCACAGTTTATGCTGATAATCGAAATAGATAAAGAAAAGTGAGATGTTTGCGAAAATTTGAATGCCTGGTTCTTCTCGTAAAGTGTTCAACTTGAAATTTTATATAAAATCAATTTTTTCAACTTAGAAAAATTTTGTTAGAGAATCGAGATCTAAAAAAAACACGTTTGTTCGCAAAGTTGTCATTTTCATTTACCATGCGTATTCATCTCGCAAGCATTGTATATCCACAAAATCGTATTATTTATAAGAGCGCTCAGTTGTATGCCATAAGATATACACCATTGTGTTTAATACGAATAAATTTCACAATGAATCCCATTGGTATCCTAACTCTGTACAACGATTTCAACGCCACTCAGGAAGTTTCAGGAAAATCGTCGATAATAATCCGAACTCGTTTCCGCAATTTGTTAGCAGAGTTCCGAAGGTATTAACCGGCTCCTCTTCTGCGTCTCGTCCTTTTCGCTCCTTTCACATTCCTCTCGTTTTCCACGTGAGTTCGATAGACATCCCGAAAAGTTTCCTTCGTTAATTAACTGTTAGTCAAGTATGGAGCATGTTCAGAAATAAAATGTATAGTAACGGATCCATCGAAGTGTAATTTTTGTTAAATACGTCACAAAAATATTGTAATAAAAATATATTTACAGTTATATAAAATACAAAATATATATGTTAAACTTATACCACAAAAATTGTACAGAAAAAAAATATATTTTTAAATAATACCTGACTGTCAAATGATTTACACACATTGAAACCTTCAGAAACTTTTATTTCAAGGAATCCATGTGTTTTGTAAGAGAAAACTCGCTTTTCGTAGTCGGAATAGTCGTTGAAATGAAATTTCAGTAAAACTTGATAAAAAATTTGACTATTCCACGAAACGCGAGTGCATGAAATATATATTTTTACTGCATCTTTCAGTACATATATTTTTATTATGCGCTCATATGTAATAAGAGATCGCAGGCGATGGAGAGAGGGCATGGAGAGGTGGTGCAGAGAGGGCTGTCGGTAAGTCAATTTCCACCGCGGTTATTCGAGTAGTCAGCAATCGATTAAACACGCGCTAAATGGACTCTGGTCACTTCCTCTTAATCCATCCTGACCCTAATGGGTTTTAAACCGTCGCGGAATGTCATCGAACAACCAGTCTGCGGTCAAACTTGCCTATTTGGGATTAATATCCGTACATAACATAAATTCCGTATTTTGATCAGAGAGTATGTGAAGTTGACTCCTAATTAAAATCCTGTCATCGATAATGGAGTTGACAGTTAAAAGGAATGAACGGAATTTTAAGTATTGTTGTTCGATTATAATGTGAATTTTTCGAGAGTGCATTTTCATATTCGCTCGCAATATTTATGGGATGCAACAAAGAAAGGAGAAAACGGGGGAAAGATAAAGATCGTGATCTATGCGATCATTTCAAGAATACGAAATTGAGAGAAATAGAGAAAGACAAAGAAGAGTTGTGAAATTAAGGCAGGCCGTGGGAGCAACTAAAAATTTCTGTCGTCTCGTATGACATGTACAATCAGATCGAGATACTGATTGTAAATCTTGAACAAAGAACTAATTAAATGTGAATTACATATAAAATATCATTAGCGTGCTAACAATTCCCAAGTTGTTCTCTGCTCAACAAAAAATACTAGATTTTAATAAATATAATATTTGGTTTGAATAATTCTAAATAAATATTTACTAAATGTAAATAGATATTTATTTGATACAAAAACCATTAACTTGATTTAACTACTATTTTTTTATTGAGTAAATATTTACTATAAGCAAATGTTTACTTAGTACTATTTAAAGAAATAAGTATTAAAATTTAGTAAATTTTTTTTTAGTGAACAATATCTTATTCTATTTATAATAATCAAAGAACAATAACAAATAAATGCATGGTTTTAGAACTATATCGGAATTTGCGAATTTTTTTCGTAGCCATATATTTTTTTCACGCGTGTGAAAGTTTTTCTTTCTTTTTATTGAAAATTTAACTGACTGCTATTTATTTTTCGAGCGTTTCGGTGCTCGAAACTAAATATTTCTATCCGATTGCAGGAATTGGTCGTTTCGAAAGTTACGGTGAGACGATTTTATACTGGGACGTGCTTACACGTATCTTCCGTAAATTTTGCGATCTTCATTGCGTACGAATTTACAGGTTGACCAGTACGGCTATTCCCGTGGGATTTAATGCGGTTAACTGAGTTGATCGCGATCAATTCCAAGCGGGCCAAATTCAATAGTAAATATAGAAACGTTACTGCCTATTCCCATGGAAAATCTACTTGATTGTAAATTTAGCGATGGATTCTCTCGACGATGAACAATCTAAATTTAGAGCATGAAGCATATCACTTCGACGCGTGAACTTTGACTTTTCGATTAATATCAACGATAAGAATACTTAATCAATTCTCCAAATCGGTTCGGTCGCTTCAAATTTTTATTAATAAATCACGTTTGCAACGTTGATATTTTAATGAAATTAATTTAACTGATTTACATCGTTGATTCTTAAAAAAGACTTCGAAATGTGTCGCGCTTGTCGATTGGCGCCGTTCGATTTAAATATTAACACGATCGCTGATCTCTAGTAGAAACTTACTTCAAGAAGAACGATCCTGGCAAATCGCAAATGTACTTGGCAGATTCGTAAAGTTCATAGCTGAAGTTTGTTGCTACACGAACACTTCGACGTCGTCGCCGTACCAACGGTATCCACGTTCCGGAGCTCGGGTTTAATACTGGTTTAATCATGACCGGGTCCGCGAAGTTCGTCGTCTGTGGTTTTTGGTTGGTGCATAATACGCCCCCCGCGGAAGATCGTACAAACAGTGCGCGGTGAAAACCGCACGATTCCCCGAGGTGCAACCATTTCGATTACAACCATGAAACTGCACCGCGTAACGGCGTAAACCGTCATGGCGATTGCTGCAATAGCGTACAGTTACAATGCCAACATGCAAATAGTTATGCTCTGTGCGCGGAGCTTTCAATTTTTGAGGACCGGCTGTGTCCCACGTATGAATCGACGTCGATTTGTATCGCGAAAAGTGTTCAATTTCATTCGAAAACGTGTGATACGCGAATAATGGATTTGTTGCACAGAACGAATATTGTTTTTTTTTTTCAAAATTGACATTGTATTTTTTTTCTAACATACTTGCTTCTCTACAATTTGTCGAAATATTCTACTTCTATAATTTATTTGATTTAAATTATGCAGATATAAAATATGGCTTATCGGAAGAAAAATGTATTTGTATTATATTATTTTAAGAAATATATTCATCATTTGATTTCAATAATTTTAATTTAGGATTGTTATAAAGCGTTAAATAGTAATTTCAGATTATTTTTATCTCGTCGAACATACTACGAAGTATCGTCACGTTATACATACAGGCAAGTACGCGTCATGAAATTCGAGAGCTTACCCATTAGTTGGGAATCTCCAAGCACAAAGCTGATTCAGACGTATTAATTAACACAGATGCGATTATGCAATTTGCATGCTGTTAGCGTATTAACGCCATTCGCGAAAATTGCGTAATAGAAAAATATCAAAGAGAGTATCAAATGGATGGATATTTGGTTTGTCGCGAAAATTAACCTCGATAAAATAACTCTCTGTATTGACACGTATGCAACGTCAACTAAATTTAATATAAAATTAATAATTATTCGAAATTATTCTCGCTATTTGGAAATATTGAAAGGTAAATAAAATAATTGTATAGATGCTTTGTCATCGGTATTCGCGGTCAATAGAAAGTCTTAAAAATTTTTTCGCACAAATGAGTAACGACACTTGCTGTGACCGCATAAAATTAAATACGCTATGCCAACAGTTTTTCTAAACGACTGTTTTCCTAAACGTGGGGGATAATTTATTGATTTTTGTTAAAAATATTACGAAGGGAATTATTAGCACCACGCTATTACATCACGTTCTGCGTTTTCCTATTTTTGTGCGTTCACTGTTCAAACATTGCACTGTTACAAATCAAATATTTGCAATTGCATACATCCCCGAGAGGCTTTCGAGCTCTTTTGTTAACGGAAAATCCGGATTATCGATCAGCGTCGTTATCGTAGAGAAAAAATTTAGAATAAATAGAATAACGGCAGTTCCATCTTCAAACATGCACTCGCCACTCGTGTTTTATCAGACTTTTCTCTCCGAATGTTATTTTTAAATTTTGTTTAACTATCAGTTACCTCTTGACCTTTGCACGATACCGATTTTATGATACCTTGTTATTATTAATTATATTTCGAGGTTTATTATCGCAATAAAACAAACAAGTCGCAATAAGACATTTTGCGATTCGCGATTTCTTAATAAAAAGAAAACAATCGATTATTCCATCTCATACTTATTTTTCTAACAATAAAAATATTACTTTTACGGAACTTTTTCCAGCTTTTCAAGTTTTAAGTATTGGTAGACGAAATCATAAGGAACCATAAATTCTCGTAAAATATTCATTAATTTACGGAGTTAAAGAGATGGAAATTAATAGTTATTAAGGCGTCGT